CTCGGAACGCGCCGTGTCGTTCCTCACCTCTGAGTTCTGGTTCACGCTTTTGCTAGGATTTCCCTCCACCTCTCCTGCCTGCACGCTGCGATTCATCTTTCAAGATTGAGGGTGCAGCCCCTCCTTCATGAGGCCTTCCTTCCTGTCTTCCTTAAACAAAACTACTCATGCTTTTATGGAGAATCTGGTCTCACAGTTTTGTTTTACCAATTGTTTGATTTACTCAAGACAGGGGCGCTGGGTGGCTCAGTCCATTAAGCGTCAGACTCTTGACTTCGGCTCAGGTCATGGTCTCACGGTTCATGGACTTGAGCCCCGCATCAGGCTCGGCACTGGCAGCATAGAGACTACTTAGGATTCTCTCTCTCCCTCTCTCTCTCTCTCTCTCTCTCTCTCTCTCTCTCTCTCTCTGCCTCTCCCCCACTTGTGATCTCTCTGTCTCTGTCTCTCTCTCAAAATACATAAATAAACTTGAAATAAACATAAAGAAAAGGACAAAAAGGTCAAAGGCACCATAATTCCATTCCTTTGCTGTGGGGCCAGCTGGGACCAAAACTATAAAGTATTATCGCCTCCCGGGCCATCACTCTAACCCTAACTCTATGTTCACTCTAATCCTCTGCTTCGGGGATCTTCTGTTGGCTGTGTACCTGTGTCCCCTGCCGGCTAGTGAGCCTCCCCAGTGGTGGGATTGGCCGACCTCCCCTCTTGACACCCGGCGCCTACCACGCAGCCTGGTACACGGTGAGCTTCGTTCGCGATGGACCACGGCGGACACCTAGTGCTGCGAGGGCAAGAAAGCTAAGCTAATTTGACCCTTGATTCTGAAAGCTGAACAGGGCCCTCCCTGAGTCTGAGCACGGCGCTCTGATGTGGTCTGTGTAGGTCGCCTCTGGCTACACGCCACCCTCAGTTTGGGCTCTCAACAGAGAACTCCGAGACATTAATTAATGACTTCAGGACTCGGTGAGGTAGAGATTAAGACGCATTACGAAACCAATGCGCCCACACAAGCACCAAGTGACGAGCCATCAAATACACTCCTGACCGCTGGCAAACACAATCAGAGGGCTGTTTCACTGATACGTGTGTTTATTTGCCAGATAAGTATTAATGTCCAGTTTTTAACAGATGCTATTTATATCTGAATCATAACAAAAGTGCCATCCATCTGCCTTGGCACCCGAAGAAAACATAATTCAACACAAGAGTAAGAAATGTGCACAGCCAAACAGAAATGGCATCAGAAGCAAAAACTGTTGGAACTGGTATCGTGGGGAGGAGTGGCGGAGGGGGGGGGGGGCGGGGGGAGGAGATTGTCACTTGGAAAAAGTTGCAAGCAACACAAAAGATTTTGGCAGTTAAGTCCGAATACTTGAGAAAAATCTTCTTGTCTAATCTGATTATCATATGGATGTTTTATTATATTTTGGAACACATACCCTAGAAAGTTCCCTTTTTAGCCTTCCACACATTCAGTTATTTACTGAGCATCTATACTTTTGGACAATGGGAAAAACAAAGAGTTTAGAGTCAAGAGGACTTAGGGTCAAGGTCGTTCCACTATCCACCGTCCAACTTGCAAGTTAATTAACCTCCTCCTGACCCAGTTTCCTCATCTGAAAAATGGAAGTAACACATCTCTTTAAAGGAAATATTCTTTTGTCTCCAAAGTTTTTAATGTTTCTTTATTTTTGAGAGAGAGGGAGAACGAGCAGGGGAGGGGCAGAGGATTTGAAGCAGGCTCTAGGCTCTGAGCTGTCAGCACAGAGTCCGACGCGGGGCTCGAAACCACGAACTGCGAGATCGTGACCTGAGCTAAAGTAGGACACTTAACTGCCTGAGCCACCCAGGCGCCCCTTTAAAGCAGGTATTCTTAACCTAGGATCTAGGGAAGCGGTCCACCCGTGTGCTTTGGTGGCTCTTCAAACCCTCAGAGATTAAACATAAAAGCGCTATGAGATGATTTTTCTAGGGGATATGTTACTTTCACCAGCTTCTTAAAAGGCAGGTGAACCAACAATGCTCAAGTGCCGCCGCTCTACAAGCTGTGGAAGCGTCACGGAAAACGTATCTAAAGCACCTGACACACAGTAGGCTGTGTTCCTCATTTGGCAGCTGCTATTATTTTTAGGTCTTGGAAACGCACAGCAACCTGAATCAGAGACAGCACAGGGCGGAAGACATAGACAGTTACAGCGTAAGGTGCTGAGTGTCTTCATGGGGTTTTATAAAACCGTGAAAGGAGGGTAAACCGAAGTCAGTCCAGAAAAAAAACCCAGTAATAGACAGTGACAGGGTGGAGGCACCAAAGGTATCAGGGTGGGGACGTGACCATCACCGCGGGGTCCTCGATGCCTAGACAGGCCCTGGCATACGGCAGGGGCTCAATGAAGAACTGTTAAGAGCAAACAAAGACTGGAACCACCCCAGGGGACAGGGCAGCAGCGTTTACAAAGTCCTGGAGGCAGGGGGAGGGCGGGGGGGACATTCGGAAGGTGTTACTGAAAACTGTTACCGTTCAGAGCACTTTCATTCCAAATATTCCTTCAAGTGTGAGAGTCCCTACTCTCTCCCTAGCTGGTTAGGACCCCGGGCCTGCAACTGAACCATCTGGTAGCAATCGAGCCCTGCCCAGGTTTTACGATGAAGACCTACACGTCAGAAAAGCTTTAGTTTTCCAGAGGAATGAAAATGTTTTCTTTGGCCAAAATGAATTCAACTTCTCTTTTTTTTTTAATTCTCCTTTTTCTTGAGTCGACAAGAAGTTCACGACTAAATCCGCAGCCCAACTGTATTAACCAGTATGGACAATCAGAGTATTTTTCTCTCCTCCAGATGTTACTTTACTATTCTATTTGTATTCTCCATGATCCTGACTTACGTGTTTTTAGTTTACCGTATCACATGCATTCTTACAAATCATCTCAAAGCCTTAGGGGATTTACGGAGTATATAAATATTTGAGGGCTAGAGCACTGGTCAGGAACACACAGGTCCTACTGTCAGGCAATCCTGGAGTAGAAGGCACCCTCCACCATTTATGTGCTTGGAAGGCCCTTAACTTCTCTGAGTTCCTATTGCTTTATCCATAAAACGGGAAAAGTTAACCGTGCCCTTTTGTAAGCAGGGGGTAAGAACTAAATTTAAAAATGGATGTGAGGCCCCCAGGCTGTGCCTGGAACACAGTAAGTGCTCAATAAGTATTAGCCAGGAGTACCAGCACTTTCGGGCCAGTAGTAGGAGAAGTCATAAAAGTGCAGGGACGCCTGGGTGGCTCAGTTGGCGAAGCATCTGACTCTTGATTTCGTTTCAGGTCAAGATCTCACGGTTCCTGGGATGGAGCCCCGCATCAGGCTCTGCGCTGACAGCATGGAACCTGCTTGAGATTCTCTCTCTCTGCCCCCTCCCTACTCTCAAAAACAAATAAATAAACTTAAAAAAAAAAAAAAGAGAAGGCATAAAACTGCAAATAAATGGAGAGAGAAAAAATAGTAACAGTAGCACCCGCAACAAAGCAAACAAAAAAAGAGAGCAGTAAAAGGTCAAAACCAAGAGAAAAAAAAAAAAAAGGTGGAAAAAGAAGCTCTTTAGACCTGAAAAAATAACATATTTATAGGTTTTCTCTAAAGCCAGACTTTTCTCAAACAGATCCCTTTTCTTTACAGCTCCTCTTCCCAACGACATGGATATCCTGGCGAGTATCTTGTTGAAGGTGAATTAATACTGAAAAATTATACGGGCACCTGGGTGGCTCAGTCGGTTGAGCGCCCGACTTCGGCTCAGGTCATGATCTCGCAGTTTGTGAGTTCGAGCCCCGCGTCAGGCTCTGTGCTGGCAGCTGGGAACCTGGAGCCTGCCTCGCATTCTGAGTCTCCCTCTCTCTCTCTGCCCCTCCCCCGCTCAATGCTCCCTCTCGCTATGTCTCAAAAATAAATACAAACATTAAAAAACATTTTTTTTTAAAAAAGGAAAAATTACAAGAATCCCACCTCTATGAGCCTACATTTAAATACACTTCACAAAAAGGCCGGCTCGCTCCTGGTATTTAAAGGAAGAAAGCAGGGGCGCCTGGGTGGCGCAGTCGGTTAAGCGTCCGACTTCAGCCAGGTCACGGTCTCGCGGTCCGGGAGTTCGAGCCCCGCGTCGGGCTCTGCGCTGATGGCTCGGAGCCTGGAGCCTGTTTCCGATTCTGTGTCTCCCTCTCTCTCTGCCCCTCCCCCGTTCATGCTCTGTCTCTCTCTGTCCCAAAAATAAATAAAAAACGTTGGAAAAAAAAATTAAAAAAAATAAATAAATAAAGGAAGAAAGCAGCCAACCGTCAGCGGACGAAAGAAAGCGATGAAGGGACGGAGGTGGTGAACGTGGAATTTACTTACAGCATTTCGGAAAGCCCACCCATTTAGGGGCACACAGGACTCGAGGAACATTATTAAATTATTAAATTACTCTTTTTTGAAAGACAAGTGGGAGTCCTCTTAAGGGGCAAGGCATTCTGCGAGGCAGACTTTAAGAGGGAAGGAAACGGGAGACGGAGAAGGAAAGGATCGGGGTGCCCCAGACGGTGACCTTAAGCGCGCTCTTTGCAACAGGACGTTTCACAAAGTGCTTTCCGGACAAAATTCCGGAGGGAGGCAGGGATAACTGTGGGCGGTGCGAGGGGAAAAAAGAATGTTCTGGAAAGAGTTGGGGCTCTTTTTTGTTTGTTTTTTAACATGAGGCAAGTGCTGGGTTTGAATTCGGGTTCCGCGACTTCCTAGTTGTGTGAAGTCTGGACAACCCCCTTCACTCCACGGGGTCCAAGTCGCCCTCTACGGGGGGCAGGCAATGACACTCAAGAGCGCTGTGCGGGCAAATGACATAAGGGACATGAAACATTTTGTAAGTCGGAGTGACCGAAGGCAGTGCCACACACTTCCCGTGTGACCCACACACATCGGGGGGGGGGGGGGGAAGATGTCACTACCTTCCGCGTTGTGGTCCGTCTTCCCCAAATATGACGTCAGCCCACGGGGAGAGGACCGCGCTAGTCACCGCAGTAGCGCCAGGGCCGGCGACGGCGGCTGACACACGTGCTGAACGGGGTAAGCGAGTCACCAGCCCGAGGTCTCGTTTGCGGGAGGGAGGCTAGGCGTCTCGGAGGCGGGCGGCAGCCGTCTCAGGGCTGTGGGACCCTCGGAGCCGCCCGCCCCGGCCCTCCTCTCGCCCTCCGCTCGCGCGCGGGGTCCGGACGCCGTGGCCGCGCCGCCTTACCCGAGCCCCCTTCTCGATTCTCCGCCTCGCGGGGCCACAGCAGAGCGCGGGGACCCCAGGCCGCTCGGCCACAGAAGCCCAGCCCACTCGCCGGCTCTAGGACGCTGTTGCCCGAGCAACGGCGACACTCGTTGATTGGAATAGGAGTCTGCGCACCCGACAAGGAGAGCAGCTCCGATTGGCTAAGCCGGTAAGTGGAGGGGCGTGACCAGATCTGCCCGGTGCTCCGCCCCCGCGGGAGGAACTTCCGCCGGAAGCCTGAGGCTTCTGGGCGCGGGAACCCGCGGAGCGCCGGGGCGACGAGCGTCAGGGGAGAGGGTTTCTGCGACGTGGCCTTCGCGCGAGCTGGCGATCGGACTGGTCCCTCGGATCCGCTTCGAAGCGCGTGGCCAGAGAGAAGCCCGGCCCCACACGAGCGGCAGACTCCCGTGCCTGGAAGAGCCCAGCGTAGCCGCGCGGGGCCTGGGTCACGACGGAGGGAGGAGCGTCGGTGCGCGGCCCCGAGCACGTGCTGCGGCCTTGGCCAAAGGCAGTGCGCATGTATGGTTGCGCCCTGCGGGCCCCCAGGAGCCCGAAAGCCGCGAGGAGGCGGGACCAGCTTGCCCCTCCCTCCGCATTCTCCGCCCCGGGGCCGTGTGACCTGCACAGTCCCCCTGATTATTTCCAGTTTGCAGAAAGGAAGCCGAGGCTCAGAGCGGGGTCTTCTGTCCCGGGACACGCAGCTGGTCTATGGCAGAACCGGAGTTAGAACCAAGGCAGGCCAGGCCCTGCTCTCCGTTGTCGGGGAGAAGGGACCAGAGGGGCAGCCTTGCTGAGGAGCCCCCTGCACCCATTTCTGGCGGCGGCGAAGCGATCGTCCGCTGTCACGCTGGGCAACCTGACTGCACATCGCGGGGAAGCTGGTCTTCTTCTCACCGAGGGGTACTGCCATCTTCTCTTGCTCAGACCTCCCGCACCCTCCCTCCCCATCCCCGGCACCTGGCCTCACCTCCAGTCCCCTGGACTCCAAACGACTGGAGCACACTGTTGTCTCGCAGCCTCTTAGACGCCCATCTCTTCTGCCCTTCTTCCAGCCTCTCCACGTATGTCCTCAGTCCCACCCCCCACCCCCACCCCCACCCCCCAGTGGCCTTCTCAGAGACTTCATTGCTTAGGTCAGCCAGTGCTCAACAATGTGCCCTGGGAACCGCTGGCGGTCCTGAGACCCTTTCAGGGAGTCCATAATCGTCCAAACTGTTCCCATAGTAATACGAAGGTGGGACTCGCCTTTTCACTCTTACTTTCTCGTGAGGGGTGCGGTAGGGTTTTCTAGAAGCTACACGATGTGTGACACTGCAACAGATTGAATGCAGACGGAGATGGGAGATTCCAGCTGTCTTCTCTTAAGTCAGACATTAAAGAGATTTGCAAAAATACAAAACTGCCTCTCTTTTCACACACTTTGTTTTGGAAAGCATAATAATTTTTCATTAAAAAAAGTTCATGTGTAATGGGTTTCTTGCTATTTTAAATGAATTGGTAAACAAAATTCAAAATTCGTATCTGTTTTGTTTCTGATGTGGTAAATATTGATAGAACTCACAAAAACCAAAGCACTTTGGGGTCTTCAATTCTTTTAAGAGTGTAAATAGATCTGAGGCCAAAAGGTTTGGTCCTGAGAGCAAAAGGGCTTAGGTCATTGCCTCTCCCATAAAGGCCAAGGTCTCATTCCTCCTCCCTCCCCCCACCACCTCCTTCCCTCATAAAATATGCTCTAGTATCTGACATCTTAAAAAAAAAAAAAAATTATCTTCTAGCTTCTACCCCAACTCTCCGTAGAGTTATCTGTCCACACGGGTCTCTCAGTTACTATTCACTCTCCATCAGTTTTCCCAGAGGCATAGCTCCGTGACTCCCCGGTACCTGGTCAGTTTTCATGAATATTTCATCTGTCCCCGACTTTGCCTCCCTCGACCTCTCAGGAGCATTCAGCCCAGTGGGTCACCTTTCTACCTGAAACACTCTCTTACTGTTCCTCTGAAGCCATACAACCCTAGTTTCGCCCTAAATCACCAACTACTCAGTTCTCAGGCCCCACTCGTGATTTTTCCCCCTCTGGCTCTGACCTAGGTGGTGTTCTCACACTTATCCCCAGCTGCGACCCCTCCACTGGTATGAATCAGAGACTCCTCTGACTTCAGCCGTCCACACAGCCCTTGGTCCTCTGACCTCCCTGACTCTGGCCAACGTCAGTAAATGGCACCACTCAAAGCAGGAAACCTTGTCTTCCCTCGGCAAGATCATTGCCTCACCGCCCCCCCACCCCGCCCCGCCCCATCTAGTCCTTCAGCAAAGTCTTCTTGGTTCCATTGCCAGAGTATGTACACTGTGATCTCACTCAACCATTGTCACCAGCCTCACCAGCACGACCCCGCCTAATGAGGACAAAATGTAGACAGAGCCTTTCCTGTGGTTCCCAAGGGAAAGGCAAGGCAGGGTCAGCAGGCTTAACATTGGCTACTTGGAGTAATTTTGGCAAGATCTTTACTATCTGTAGAAATTAGCTAACCTTGGGAGGGACAGTCACTCCAGTGTGAGCAAGGCCCCGAGATGGCAAAGCATCAGGAAACAGAAAAAATTTTTTAAACAGGAAAAAAAACATGTCTAACCATTCATCTGTTGATGGGCACTATCAACTTGTTTCTTTTGGCTACAATCAATAATGCTGCTATGAACATTGGCATACGAGTCTCTGAGTCCGTCTTTTCAATTTTTAGGGGTGTATTTCTCGGAGTGGAATTACTGGGTTACGTGGCAATTCTCAGTTTAACTTTTACAGGAATCATGAAATTTTTTCCACAACGGCTACAGCATGTTACATTCCCATCAGCAGTGCACGAGGATTACGGTTTCTCCACATCCTCACCAACATTTGTCATTTTCTGGTTTGGGGGTTTGGTTTTATTCCGATGACAGCCATCCGTAGTAGCCTGAGGCAGTATCTCGCTGTGGCTTTGACTTGCATTTCCCTAAGTGATGTTGACCATCTTTTCACATGCTCATTGGCCATTTGTAGGTCTTCTTTGTAGAAATATTTATTCAAGTCCTTTACCTATTCTTAATGAGGTTGTCTTTTTATTGAGTTCTGGGAGTTACGCGTTCTGGATATTAAACCCTTATCAGCTGTGTCATTTGCAAATATTTTCTCCCATTCTGTGGGTTTTCTTTTCATTCTCTTGATAGGGTCTTTTCACGCACAAAAGTCTGTAACCGTGCTGAAGTGTATTGATTTTTTGAATTCCCTTTCTCAGTGTGTATTGTTCATATATAGGAAGATCGTTGCCGCTCTGTATGCTGACTTTATAGCCAGTGACTCTCATGGATCAGTTCCAGCTAATGCTAAGCATCTTTGGTATTTTTAACTTGCACAATCTTGTGTGTGTGACCTGCAAATGACTTTTATTTTTTCTTCTCTCATCCTTGTACTTTAGATTTGTTTTCTTTTTATTTTTTTAATGTTTTATTTATTTTTGAGACAGAGAGACAGAGCATGAGCAGAGAAGGGGCAGAGAGAGAGGGAGGCACAGAATCCGAAGCAGGCTCCAGGCTTCAAGCTGTCAGCACAGAGCTCCACACGGGGCTTGAACCCACAAACTGTGAGATCATGACCCGAGCTGGAGTCGGATACTTAGCCGACTGAGCCACCCAGGTGACCCTAATGTGATGAATTTTTAATGTTGAAATTTCTTTGAATTCCAGGGGTAACTCTTTACTATTTTATATATCACTGGATTAAATTGGCTAATGTTTATTTAGGATGTTTGTCTATTTGACACCCCAAGTTTTATTGGGTTCACGGCCACACACACATTCATTTACGTGCCACCCGGGGGCGACTTCTGCTCTACGGTGCGGCGTGTAGCCGGTGAAGCATAGGCTGTGTGGCACACACGTCGACTCTCTGGCCCTCTGCAAAAACCAGTTTGCCAGTCTTTGGTCATTGTCATGAGAGGCCGTGACCAGCGACTTCCCTTTCTCTGTGATGCTCTGGTCAGATTTTAATACTGAGGTTATACTGGCCTCAGAGTAAGTTGGAAAGTGCTTCCACCTTCCCGGCTCTCCCAAAGCTCATGTGATATTTGCGTTTGGCTTCAATGTCGGGGGAAATTCACCGGCAAAGGTATTTTGTCCTAGCGGTTTCTTCGTGGGAGGTTTTTAATAATTGGTTTAAGTTCTGTGTTACTTACAAGACTATTCAGACTTTCTGTTTCTTCTTGTGTTTGTTTTGGCAACTTACGTTCTCCATATACTTTGTCTAGATCATCTTAATTGTCAAGCTTATCAGCACAACGTTGTTTATAACGTCCCCTTAGTACAGGGTCTGTAGGAGCTAGGGTGGCCAACCACCTTGCTTGCCAGGGGGTGGAGGGGTTTCCTGACACATGAGTCTTTCAGTGCAGACCTGAACAGTCCAGGCAGATTGGGACGGTCAGATCCAAAGAGACACCTTCTCTTTTTTTGGTTTATCAATTTTATTAGCCTTTTCAAAGAAAATCACGTCATTGATTCTTGCTCGTTATTTTTCCTTCTTTCTTTCCTTTGGATTTAAGTTGCTGCTCTCCTTTTCCTAGCATCTTGATATGAATATTTAAATCACTGGTTTTCACCCTTGTTTCTTTTCTAGGTCGTGGTTAAGGCTCTAAATCCCCCTCCAAGCATGAATGTACCTGCATCCTCCAAACGCTGATAGGATAGATCTTAATTAGCATTCAATTCAAAATCTGGCTTGAATTTCCATGGCGATGTCTCTGTTGACCCATGGTAGTACAGAGCTATATTAAACTACAGACAGTTGGGCATTTTCTAGCTGTATTTTTGTTATTGATTTCCGGCTTAGTTCCACTGTGGTCCAAGAAACACAAAGGTAAGATTTTGGTTTATTGAAATTGTTTGAGACTGACTTCCTGGCTCACCATATGACCAATTGTGGTAAATGTTAACACTCTTTTCTGAGGGGAAATTATAGGTGAAAAACTGGTAGCTGGCTGTGTGAGCAAACTGTTTAGTAGGGACTTAATAAATGTCCTTTGAGCTGATCTGAACTCAATTGTGAAGCAGATGATTGGGGCAACATAGCCAAGAATCAGGAAACTGAAAATCCTTATTTCCTTGAATACGGATGATTTTTTTTTCATGTATTTAAGTGACTAAATCAATCTGACATGAGGGGCACCTGGGTGTCTCAGTTGGTTAAGCATCCGACTTCAGCTCAGGTCATGATCTCGCAGCTCGTGAGTTTGAGCCCCACATGGGGCTCTGTGCTGACAGCCCAGAGCCCGGAGCCGGCTTCAGATTCTGTCTCCCTCTCTCTCTGCCCCTCTCCTGCTCATACTCTGTCTCTGTCTCGCTCTCTCTCAAAAATAAACATTAAAAAAAAAATCTGACATGAGGTTTTGTCATATAATTCTCTTTTCTTTTCCTTTTTTTCTTAAGAGCATCTTCACTCCAAAGCTTTTTCCCTGCTCCTGGAAACTTTTCACTTCCATGCAAAGAGTTAACTTAGGTGTTTTGTTTTTAACAAGATCTCAGTTCACCTCATTCGTTTATTGTCCTGATAAGCCCATAAAATGCTTTAGATTCCGTGTGATCTTTGTTCACACAGACCAGAGTTCTGTAATGGGATGGTGGCCCCAAGGAGTTTGTTGGAGATTTTCGGTCTTCCTTGACCATACCTTCCAAAGAATGCTGCCAGCTCCCTCAGATGTCCTACAGTGGGTCTCCTTTCAACAGGGCCGAACCTATCAACTTGGCCATGATACCTTCCAGCATCACTTAAATGTATAACGCTCCCTGCCCAAGAAACTGCTACAGTCCCCACTACTCATTCCCATGCAGGAATCTGCTGCTCAAAACCTTTCGTGATAATCTGGAGAAGCGAGCCATGGGAAGTTGTGGCGAAAATATTTTCACACTTACAACATCCAGCACACAGCTCATTCTATCAGCAATCAGGAGGAAACCTGGGGTCGTGGGGAGCTGTGTGGCAACAATCCTCTGTCCCTCCCTCCAGGTTTTGAGTGCTCATCACAATGACGTACGCCTTGGAGACTGGGCACTAAGACCGAGCCTGGAATTATTTCACAGTCATCAATCATGAGGTTATAAACGGAGGTTATGCCTTCAAAAGGAGAAATACACAGCAGGAGCCGATTAACCCCTAAGAAGTTAAGTACTGTTTTCCGCCTGGTCTATTAATAAAGAAGGAGGGAACAGCAAACACAGGGCAGAGAGACATGATGCATCTAAATGGGGGCTGAGGACATCCCTGGGAAATCTGCTACGAGAGATTTCTCTGACTACTGTCCTTTTCACGGCCTTGTAAGATGGACACCAGAGTCTCCTGAGCTGCCCTTCAAAGAAAAATAAAGAAAAACAAATGAGGGTATAAGTAGCTCCTTTGGAAAAGCTACCGTGGTTCTTTTTTTTCCTTTACTAAAATAGATGCTTTCTCTCTGATATTTACCTTGACAGCTGATGCAGCTTCTCATTTTAGTACAACCAGCCAGAAACTAAATTGTATTTTCTTTCTTTCTTTTTCTTTCTTTCTTTCTTTCTTTCTTTTCTCTCTCTCTCTCTCTCTCTCTCTCTTTCTCTCTTTCTCTCTTTCTTTCTTTTTAGGGAGAGCATGCGTCGGGGAAAGAGGCCGAGGGAGAGAGAGAAAATCTTAAGCAGGCTCTCTGCTCAGCGCAGAGCCTGATGGGGGCTCGATCCCACGACCCTGGGATCATGACCTGAGCCGAAATCAAGAGTCAGATGCTCACCCGACTGAGCCACCCAGGCGCCCCTAAATTTTACATTTTAGATACTGTCACTACAAATAATTGATCACTCTTTGTAAACAGGGGGTCATTCTCGTACCTACTCTAGGACTGCCCGTGGAGAAAGACTGTGCAGGCCCCGTGTAGCCTTTTCGCCGCTTTCGTTCCCCTCCGGTGTGCTGATCCACTCGTGAGCTCAGTTACGGGCTGTCTCCTTTCACGGAAACAGGGATCGAAATCCACTTACCTTGCTCCTGAACAAGATTCCGCGGTGTAGAACCCCGGCACTTAGAATCTTAACGCATCCCGCCCCCTGAACATTCCGTGACAGTAACGGCCCACCCTCCGGAATAAAGCAGCAGCTCGAAGCTAATTTCATGTCCCATACATCTGGGCAACCTGCAACCCCCCGCCAATCACAGGTAATTCTCTTCACTAAGAGCCAGGGTCTTGCGGCAGCTTGTAATTAGTGCTGTTTAGCATTTAATTTGCCTTTCGTTCGGGAACAAGCACGTACGGATGATGTGATAGGAACGGAGCGCCGCACTCAGCCGAGCGGTGAGAAGACGAACGGGCACCGTCCCTCCTTCCGTCGACTTGGGGCTGTGAATGGAGTCTTTGGCCAGGAAACCTGAGAAGTTACTCAGATATTTTCTTAACAAATGCAAACCAATATACGATTACAGGGGATTATCACTCCTTCGGAATTCAAGGCTCTAACGCCTGGCACGCTCCCTTCTGAGAATTCTTCTGAGACTCGTGGAGACGGGACATAGCAGTCCCCCAAGCTCCGGGCTGAGGGTGCTTCTGGCCTTCTCCCCTGGGGGGGCCCAAGTGGCGTAGAGACCCCAGACAGAGGCAGCCTCCGGCCACTGAAAGTCAGTCCGTCTGACATGACCAGCAGCCCTCCTGATGTCTCTGGTAAAATCAGAGGGGGCGCCCGGGTGGCTCAGCCGGTTTAGCATCTGACGTTGGTTCAGGCCATGATCCCACCGTTCGAGTTTGAGCCCCGCATCAGGCTCTGTGCGGACAGCTCAGAGCCTGGAGCCTGCTTCGGATTCTGCGTCTCCCTCTCTGTGCCTCTCTCTTTCTCTCTCGAAAAATAAACATTAAAAAATTTTTAAAAGAAATAGCAGGAAAGGCTTTTCCATGAGGCTAAATGGTCCATGAGAAGAGACCGTTGGAGAAGAGAGCGTTGGGCGTGTAGGTCAGGGCCCCTGAGCAGCACGGCCAGGCCAGAGGGGGCCTGTGCGGCGAGTAACAAATGACGTGCTTGCAGAACAAGGACCTGTGGAGGGGCGGCTGAATTCAGCAGACGGTGAGAGCGTTCCAGTCATCAAGGTTTCACCGACCGACCACCTCTTAGGAAGCTAACTTCTTTACCCCCAGGAAGAGACATGACCAGCCTCAAGAAGCAGGTGGTCACTGGGCCAAAGTAGCAGCCCTGGAAGTGGTGGGAGAGGGACATCGGGGTCCTTGGATTAGGACCCCACCTGTACCGAGCTCAAAGCCTAAATCGGCATCACCCACGTTGAGGAATGGCAATCCGGGCAGAGGGGAACAGCCTAAGTGGACACAGAGGTCCAAACGGCCAGTCGTTCTTGAGCACAGTGAGACGGGTTCCTAGCTGCTAATTGTATTTGGGATTTGTTTTTTTTCTGGAAATCACACATACCATGGAGTATAAAAGGGGAGAACTGAGAGACAGGAACACTAGGGGGAAAACAAGATTTCAACCAATCCACTTAAAAGTTTTTTGAGGATGCATAAATTGGAGGAGAGAGAGTCTTGCTGGCTCCGTTGAGAGTCTCTCCTTCTGCAGAGATGGCCTCGCTTGGGTATTTTAGGACTTCTGTTCCCAGCTGGCGCTCAACGCCATGGAGATATGCAAAGATGACAACTGTGAAGAGAAGAAAAATGCATTTTCTGGTTGATTTTTATATTTTAAACACATTTCGCATTCTCTGGTGCTTGAAGAATGCTTTTAATAGAGCACAGACTCCTTCCGTCAATGGTGAGGGACAGATTTAGGGACTGTGGCTCAGACATCCGGTGCCAAGTAGCTTGCAGGGATCCAAGCGTGAGAAGCAAGTTGTCATCTGATGTGTAGATTTGGCAAAGGCTCAGGGCGCCTTGGCGATGGTGCCCGTGGGCCCAAGCTTGTGTGGCAGGTGCACCGTGACGGGTTCTCTCTGCCCTTGCCGCAGAGTCCATGGCTGGCTCAAAGTTCACGGTCTCCCCCACTCGTCAGCTCCTCCTGGGTGGAGTCGACAGACGGTTTGACCGCCTAAGAGTCACAGACTGTTCGCACTGGGTGGAGCGTCGAGACCCCTGGGCTGAGACCTCCCCGTTAGGAGGTGAAAAGGGGCTCCCCCCCCGCCCCGTGGTCCCGGCGACACCCGGAATCGGGACCGGGTGCCCAACCCGGTCTAGTGTATCTTATTTCTTCCCACCTGCCATGCCTCCCGCTGGCCCCTGCCCTACCTACTCCCACCTGGTTCCAGACCCAACCCGCGGCCCTCCTCTTACATTAAGCAGTCCCCCTGCTGTCCTTGGTGTCACCTCTCCGTAGCGCCAGCTCTCTGCACCACGCCTTTGTTTCCCGTTTGCCGAGGCGACGTGCGTGTAAACGGGGCTGGGTTCCGCTGCGTGTACCAAGCAAGCTCGCTGAGCCCTGGACAAGCAGAAGAAACCTTAGAGACTGTTTACGACAAAACATCCATTTGGAAGAGACGGATCCTGAGGCTGAGAGAAGGCAGGTGGCTCGCCTGGGTCACGCAGCCAAACACAACTAAACCGGGACTCTAGAGCCGGGGTCCTCAGATCCCCCACCAGGCGTCTCGCTGTAGGTATCTATCTGGGTGGGAATGAGAGCAGGGTCCCCAGAGGACGTAACAGTGGGGTAAATTTGCAGGGGAGAGGCACTGACATCGGGTGTGTCTCCGGGACCCCCACCGGGGCATAGAGTAGATGCTCAAAAAACACCAAGGAAGGAGAAAGGAAGAGGGAGAAGCGTGGCCACCGAAGGGTCGACGCAGTTCTCAGGGGTCCTGTGTCTCCGGGCTTTGGGACAGAGGGAGGACAAGGGGAAGTATGGGCACCAGACAATCCATCCCCCAGTTACACCGACATTTGGGAAGCCAGTGAGTGGTCGGGAAGGATGTTCTGGAAGAGGAGAACACCACGGCCCACTGGCAGTAAAGAAAGAGGTGTATAGAGGCCGGGGCGGAGGCCCAGTGGGGCAGTTCAGGGTCAGGAGGCCAGCCTCGTTCTTGTTTGGGAAGACACAGCCTCTGAGGGCGCAGCCAGGAAGGTACAGGGCAGATGGCTCCCAGAAAAAGCAAAATCCACTCTGACCATGAAAGGTGTCACTCCCTTAGCAATTATTAGGCGCTGATTATATGTCAAACTCCAACCTAGGGAAAGACACAGCACGGCCCTGCTTTCGGGGTGTCACTGTCCATGGGGTGGGGGGGGAGACAGCTCTAGAGCAGTGAGGTGGGCGGGATGAGAGAGGAAAGCTGGGGGCACCAGGGAGCAGCGGGGATGCTCACACGCGAAGGCAGGGCTGGGGGTCCCAGCGGGCGGGGCCAGGCCAGGGCAGGGCCCGGAGGACGTGGCTGGACAGCACTGTCAGCAACGGAACGGCTGTCCCCAGAGGTGGCCAGCTTGTCAGGGACGGGAGGTCCGGCCGTCAGAGACGTCGGTGTCGGTGGGTAAGGCTGGATCCTCCGACCGACGAAAGTGCCACTCCAGTCTGCAAATGCTCGTTCTACAATGAAGGGTGGGCAATGATGCTGCACGGGAGGGGCTGGGACCAAACGCTACAGGAGAGCGATGGGCACCCGAGGACCTGACCTCCACCCATTTCAAACAGCAGTCACCGCTCAGGTGGTGGGAAAACTGTCCCGCACTTGGGACCTCCCAGGACAGACACTGGGCGCCCGGCCTGTATCCCCAGAGCTGAGGCCACAGGAGGGAGGGAGGGAGGGAGGGACCTCCCGGCTGTGGCCCGAGGAAGTCGGCCACCAGGGAGCGGCGCCGATGCTCCATCCCGCGGCCTGCGAAGGGGCGTGGCGGAGGGGGCGTGGCCACCAGGGGGGCGGTGCTGACGCTCCATCCCTGGTCCGAAGCCACCGCCTCCTGCTAGGTCCCCGCCATGAAGGGGGTATGGACGAAGATGGTCTCCACTGTGTAAATTGCGACACCGGCTCAAACCAGTCACGTGGCTGATCTGCTCCGATGGGAGGGCCGGTGAATCTGTGCTGGGAAGCCCTTCCTGGTCCCCCCTCGGATGAAGTGATGGGGGCGCGTGGAGGGAAAACAGATGGCGTGTCCCAGGTGGCCCAGTGTCGAGCCAGGCCAGCACACACACTGCCGTGGGGCTGCGGCCAAACGCTACTGCTTGGGAGTAAAGCCCTCTCTGCGGGTCCCCCAAATGCTTGTCGCAATCTTGTTGGTCTGTGACCCTGCCGTTTGGGAATCCCGCGGCAGCTGTCAAGTGCACAGTCTTCCCCGGCCGCTCTCACCTGCTCCACCCGTCCGGGGCCTCGTCGCAAGCTGCACGGCACCCGTGCCTCGAATCGTTTTGCCCTCGTCTTAGCTCCAAGGGCCCCAGGCAGGAACTGCAGGTAATGTGCAGACCCTCGCACACGCTGCCCACGAACGCGTAGGGCCAACTGTTGGGTCAGAAGGGCCCTTGGGATCATTTAAAATAGCCCCCCGCCCCTCCTTTTGTGACTGAGTGACTCACACAGCCAGGAGAAAGGCCTTGTAATCCATTTGCTGTCAGGGGGCTTTTAAAAATGCAAACCGGTCAGTGTCCCTTTGATTAAACCCTCCTGTGGCTTCCTAGTTCTTGGGACAAAATCCAAACTCCCGTGACCTGTAAGGCCCTCGGTGAGCTGGCTCCTGCCTACCCTCCAAAACCGAGTTCCTGTCACACCAGCCTCCTCTCGCTGCCCAGCCCCCTCCCTGCCCTCCCCACCCACTCCTGGGCCCCCCACCCCAGAGGGCCCCAAGCCTGGTCCCCTCACTTCCTCCTGATCTCGGCTATCACCGGGTCCCTTGGAGTCTTCTTGAGCTTGACCTCACACAGGTTTTGTGACGGGGGCGTCATCTCCTCCCCAGAGAGGAACACCGTGCAGGCCAGGCCCTTCTATGCTCCCGGCCGTACCCCCAGCGCCTACAGCAGCCCCGGGGCATCGTAGGTGCTCAAGTGTTTACTGAATAAACGAGTCCAGGAAAGGAAGTGAAAGCAAGTCTGCAGGGATGGGGAGACACTTGGTAAATCAGCACTTCGATTACACGGTCCCGCCCTGCTGCTTGATTCGCCCACTTTGCCTTCACTTGCTGCCTTATTTCAGGTGCTTGACAAATGGGCTGGGAGCAGACCCTCTGGGGCAGCAGACTGGATACTCCACTGACTAACTTGGGGCTTGGGATCCAGGGTAATTTCAGAGACCAACATCAGTTCTGGGGTTCCACCCGAGTCCTAAAGGAAAGGTCCCGTCTGAAAAGAAATGTGCTTTCCAGAAAGCCCCAGCTTTATCAGGTAAAACAACGTCCTGGATTTTCCTGCCACCAGGAATCAGGAAGGCAGGCTCTGGAATTCAAAGCGGTCGAGTGTGGTGGTCGAGTGCAATCAGCCGGGTTGGTCTCAACACACCGCCGTGCGCCGCGTGAAACACGGGGTCTCCCCGGGCAGGCCCCACACACCCCGATCTCCTTTTCCCCAGCCCTCCTTTCGGCCCGTAAGTAATGCCAAAGGTGACCGGACAAATAGCGCGGGGAGATTCACCGCCTGGAAGGTCTAGAGCGGAGAGAAACAGCCAAACCAGCGTGGGTCTGAGACCCTCGGCGGCCAACCCCGGGGACCGGGTGTCAGTGGGGCTCACAGTCGCGACTGCCCTGGAAGGCTACCCCTCTGCACTCATCAGCACGCGCTCAACACGAGGCATGGGACGTGTCTTTATTAAAGATGCAAGCAAGCACAGACAGATCATGTGTGGTGCTCAGTAATATCCATACAGTACTAAAAATAGAAAAATAGAAAGGAAATTTCACAGAAAGCAGCCTCCCTCACAGATACACAGAAAAGGCGCAGCCAAGCCCACCATGCAATGCCGCATAAAACACCGGCGTGTGTCTGCACCTCTTCCAAGACGGCAACACAGCACAGAGACCCTCACACGTGGTGGCGACCCTCCGGCCACCCCCGGGGGCGCCTGCCGGCCACGCAAACTTCCAAGACGACCCCAGTCCCGACGCGTGACATTGCTTCCCCAGCCAGATGCGGGCCAGACGACAAAGCAAGGGGTGGGGCGGTGGAGACATCACCTGTGCTCCCGCAGATACACTGGGGCGCAAAGGCCGTGCGCCCGCAGGTATACTGGGGTGCAAAGGCGAGGCGGCCAACCAGTCTGAGTGAAACAGGGCGTTGAACCTGCAAAGTGGCTCTCCCGGGGCCGGGAGCCTCGGGTGCACACAGAACAGACTGACCGATGAGCGAGCCTGAGGAACTTACTATGGAGCATCTGCTCGCCAGCATAAAGAGGTCTCTGCCTCAGGGAACGAGAGTTCGTGGAAGGAAAACTCAGACTCCACGTACGCTCGGTCTCTGCGGCAGGTTGTCCGGTCACCGCGTGAGAGCCCGTCGGCCGGCCTCCCCGGCAGGTTCCCTCAAGGAACGTTCCGCTGGTTCCTCCGTATCGGGTGTCTGAGGCCACCCGCTGGGAGTCCCTGGCAGAGGTCCATCCTCCCTGCAGACGCCGAGCGGACGGTCTCTGCTTTGTTTCAGGAAGGTTACAGAGCACTGAACTCATCGAAAGGAGCAGCGGCCCCCACACACCCAACTCCTCCTGTGTCTTCACCTCCGAACCGGGTGAGAACAGAACGGCTGTGCCATACAGAACAGAACTACAAAAATAAAGAGTCAACCCTGAGATCTTCCTACCATTTGGGTGTGGCTCGCTCCTGAGTCCCCTCGGAAATGAACTTCTATTTGGTTTACTGACATTTATTTAGATTTCCAAGTGAAAAGCTCTATAAAATACAATAAATAATGTGGGGTTGTAAAAGGCAGACGTTCTAGCTGCGTATGTTACAGACTCTATACTTATGATACAGGCCGTCAGAACCGCCAGCTTTACAACGCTTGTGGTCGGACACGGAGAGACTTCAAAGCCCAAAGGCGACGCGGCTGCTCCGGAGGGGAAGCAGGGCCCCCTCTTCCTCCGGCGTCTCCGCCGTTCCCTCCCTCCCCCCGGCCTCACGCTGCTTCCGGAGTTCGTCCAGCAAGGAACAAATGAGTGCATACGGGACTTTTAGCTAGTAGAGTGTCTGGGTGCTGTGAGCATGCAAGTTTGCCGTCGCCGTGATTATAAATAAAAGTCAAACGTCAGGTCACACTTCCCCATCTTCTGTTTGTACACCAAGTCAAACTTCTCGTTCATGGAGACAGTGAAGATGTCCTTCCACAGCCCGACTCTTCCTGCAACACAAACGAGAGCAGAGTGTACTGAATTCACTCGCCGCCGGGCCAGATACCGAACCAAAGGGAGCCTTGGAAATGGTTCTGGAAGGTTCCAGATCTATTTCTGGACCCTTCTGAGCTTGGCCTAGCGGGGGCAGGACAGGCCACCTGAACCCGTTTCCCTGAGGCTGGTCATCCTGGTGTCCCTTCCCTGCTGGGTGGGGCCCACGGGCACAGATACGCAGAGCTGAGGCTCGCAAGCAAGACCTCTGCCCCTGTTCCCTGGCGGATGCCCAGCACCCAGGCACAGGGCGGGGGATTCACAACACCCTGGAGGACAGACAGTCTCCGGGGAGCAGATCTGCTGCTCTAGGCATCGTGTGGACTTGGGTCCTCTGTGCCAGCATCATTCACTCGGCTCGACAGCTCCGCCAAGGTGGCATTTGCTTGTGGAGAATTTAAAAAGGGAAAAAAAAAAAAAAAATCATCCAAAAAGACAGAACCTTTCATGGTGAGCAGGAGGCCTCCTGGCTGGGTCAAGGGTGAAGATTTTGAGAAGCCCGCCCTTGCAACCTCGGGGAGGAACTTAAAGGGATCAGAAGACCCCACTGGAAACGCACTTGCACAACTAGACGCTGAGTGTGTGCTTCGCCCACTCAGCCCCGCGTGGGTCGCGGGCGATCTCCAGCCGCTCTTTGCTGCTCCGGCTCAGGCAGGGGCTCGATCAAAACACAAGACCTTTCCTGGCAGGCGTGCAGGGGCACGGAGCCCGCCGACCAACGAGCAGGTACGGGCTACCCGTTCACTCATGAAGGCTTCGGGGAAAGAGAGCCCAAAATGCCTCCCCGAAGCCACTGAACTCCCTTCCCTCGTGAACTGCAAAATCTTCGGCTGGTCTGGTCAAATGTGAGCGGTGACCGGGAGGGCGGCAGGAGTGGGGGGTTCTAAGCCCCCATCTCCAGGGGCCGTGAAGGCCGTCACCGGGGCACTGCCATCATGCTTTGGAGTAACACAGCCTCGGGGGACAGAAATGCTCATTTAGAATTCCTTTCCGCGTCAGCATCTCTGAGATGGGAGCTCTGACCGTCTCCAGCAAATAGACTTCGTTAGCTCGGTTACAACAGAAGCCCCTGTCCTGGCAGGACCTCAAGTATGAAACTGCAAGCCCGCAAACGCTGAGCCAATAGATCTGCCACGACGAGGATTTTTCTCGTCGGTAATGCAAAATCAGACATCAGTGTCGGCGAGGGAAAAAAAAAACCAAACGGGAGAGGCTGTTCTTGCTACCCTCTAATGATACCTAAGGGACAAAATTAGAAGCTTCTAGACCAGCGACACTGTAAATATATTTTTCCACGATTATTTTTCTCAGCTGAGGCAGCTGAGAGCTCATCAAAGGAGTCACCCACCTGGTTTAGGGTTTGGAATCAAGACAGTGCAATATATGCTGTGATATGAATCAAATTTAAGCAACGCAGCTGTCTGCTCAAGCCCTACGTTCTCACCAACGCAAGGAGGTCTTCTGAGCAAAGAGGCAATGTGCTAAAAGAAAACAAAATCAAAGAACTGAAATAAAGCAAAACCAAGGTAAACAATGATAAAGCAAACACATCAGAAGGAGCATATGGGCACGCAGTATGTTCTCGCCACTTCGTTACCACGCAAACGAACCAAAAGGGGTATTTTGGAGAAGGTCACATCCAAGGATAACAAAACACAGCAAAAGCAAAACTAAAAAAAGAGCAAATAAATTTTAAATAATAAATATTTGTGAAGATGCAGCCAGGGAAATAATCTGCGAGGCACTGCGGTTTCGGTCGACTGCTCTGCCTTTACAGGAGGGCACTCCCCGCCTGACCTTGAGAACGGCCGCCTCGGGCCGCCCCGGTCTAGAGGAAGGGCACAAAGCTGGAGGGGCCCCTCCGCAGGACGCGCCACGGCGTCCGGCCCGCGGCGCCAGCCCAGGTAGGCCTGAGCGTCCAAGATGCGCAGCTGGCTCCGGCCGCACTTCCGGGCCGGCCCCTGGAACATTCCGTCACCTGCGGACGCTCTGAATTCACCCAGCTGGGAACCAGAGGCAGGTCTGCGGCACCCAGCGTCACGGGCAATTCACACTTGCCAAGAGGGTGGCTGCCGTGGCCACGGCCACCAACCGGGGGACAGGGCATTTATTTTAATGCCCGAGTTCTCCACGGTCAGGTGGCTTCAAATATCATGAGCCTTGAAGGACAGACAGCAGCCGGGGCGGACCCGGAGAGGGCTCCTGCCTGGACTGTGTCCTCCGCCTCGAGGTGCTTCAGGCCCGAGAGCCAGCTCTGTGCCAGGAGCGAGCGCCGGCCTCCGAGAAGCCCGCGCAGCACCAGCACCCACCGCGGGGACGGAGGGCCCATCCGCGGGCCCCGAGCTTCGAAACTTCACAGCCCCGAGCCCCTCCCGGGCTCTGCTGGGCGGGGTGTCTGGGAAGGCGTCTGCCTGAAACGTCCACCCACAAAGCCCAGGACATCCCAGCCTTCTCCCCGTGACCTAAAAGGCCACCCGCACGGCTACAAGGCAAATGCCAGCGGAGGGCCCCGCGGGGCTCCATCCACAGCAGCCGGCTTTCGGATGGCCTTCTGGCCCTCACGGAGCAGAGGGCTCTGGAGAAACGTGGCCCAGGGCAGAGGACGCTGACGTGGGGGGCAGGGGGGAGGGGCCGCGTGCGTACCCCGGCCCACGGGCAGGGCCTCGGCGTTGCAGCACTGGTCCACCAGCTGGTGGCAGTGCTCGCTCAGGGCCTCCAGCTGCGCCTTGTCACAGGACACCCCCAGGAATCTGGCCAGCTGCTCCACCATCGTCACCAGGTCCTGGAATACAAGAGCAGAGAGCAGGGGGCCCGTCAGAGGCAGCGCCTTTGCTGACCGAGCGCTCTGGGCCGGTCACTCACCAGGTGCTCTGTTCACACTTCCTAACTTAGTCGTTGACACAAACCTGATGTTGGCCTGGTCTGGAAGTTAAAGCCAGGTTAAGAGATTGCCCGAGGGTGCCTGGCTCTCAAGGGGCCGAGCCGGAACTCGAACCCCAGTCGTCTGGGGCACCTGGAGCAGACGCGAGGTCCTGGTATCGCAGTGGTCATTTTAAAACAGCAGCAAGACAGGAAAACTCAGTTCAGAACCGTGCCAGGAGCCAGACCAGCAGACTCTCCCCTTCCCCTTCCGTCCACGCAATCAGCTGGAATCAGCTGGGAGAACAAGGTGGCATCTATGGCCCCCAGACAGGCCCCAGGGCCAGCCCCCCTCGCCAGGCAGGAGGAGCTGGCTTGGAGTAAAGATTCAGTTACGCTCGACTCCATGGACGGAAGCCCATCTCCGGCCCCAACGCTCCTCACTTCTGGACAGTGACACTGTTAGTGACACAGCCTGGGTCTCCGGAGGGGCACACAGAGCCCCTCCCCACCACTGCCACTGTCTCCCCGGGAAATACCAAGGCACCGCATAGTCTCAATCTGTGCACGGCCAAATGCGACCAGGACCCTGACCTGTCACCAGGCAGTCTCCAGACTCTGCCAGCGTCCAGGTCCCGAGTTAGGAAAATGCTGGAGGCTGTTGCCTCCTTGATGGTTTATAAAGCATCACCACATTAAGGCCTCTGAGAAGGCCTGGATAAAGAAACCCATTAAATTTCTTTGACGCGGTATTTTGTAAACCTTAAAGAAAGAAAGGGTTCTGGGAGAGCTGGATTGAGTGTCAGCTCCTCTCCGGATTCCCAGGGTATTCCCCACTGGGCCCTGCGTCCTGCCCTCCCAGCTGACCCCCGGGGAAGGGGCTCCAACCAGGCAGGGGCTCCGACACTCGGCTCCAAGCCCCGTGTGCAGGGCTCGGCCAGGATCGGAGCACACGAGACGTGAGAAGGAAACGGACTAGAAAGAGCTCCCCTCACTTGCCCTGCCACGCGGTAGCTCTAACTAAAAGGAAAAAAACAACAACGGAGATTAGAGACAGCAGGCCCTCAGGGGAGACACCACAGGAGAGGGACTCGGCAGAATCCCGGTGGGGACAACATCCACCCGGTGGAGGAAGGTGCGGCCGCCTGCCACGAGCCTGCTCCCCGGTTATGAGACCGAGCCATGCGGGCAGGCAGCGTCCCCACCGTGGGCCAGCTCTGGACGGCTGGCAGGGCTTCCGGAGCTCACCGCCCGTCTGTGAATTAGCGTGTCTGGTCCGCCGGTCACAGTCGAGACTCCTCACCTGTGGCTGGTGAGACCACCCCGCAGATGACGACGGCAGGATTTGTGGGTTGACACGCTGGGGCAGCCGGCTGGGCGTCCGGCTCACGGGCACAGCCCCCAGCGCCGGGGGGAGACGCAGAAGCCCCTGGGGGAGCGCACAGGGCAGAGAGAGCTCGGCTGCTAAGTATTCCCACCCAAGACGAGAACACGCCAGGCCCGTCCACACTCCTGGAGCCCGATGACGTGCACCTGGGGTATTTTTTTTGCCGTAAGATGCAAACAACGTGAATTCCTAAAAATGTGACAGTTCTCTAATCTCTATTAGAGACATCCAGACCCTTACTGAGGTTTCTGAAAAAAGAGTAAGCGGTAGAAGTGAGGCCCTTGGGGGACGCCTGGGTGGCTCAGTCGGTCGAGCGTCCAGCTTCACCTCAGGTCATGATCTCACAGCTCGTGAGTTCGAGCCCCACATCAGGCTCTGTGCTGACAGCTCGGAGCCTGGAGCCTGCTTCAGATTCTGGGTCTCCCTCTCTCTACTCCACCCCCACTCGTGCTCTGTCTCAAAAATAAAATAAAAACATTTAAAAAAAAAAAGTGAGGCCCTTGGCCACAGTAAATGCCATTTGGTTCCTCTGGCATTGGGAATGTGAGTCCCAGCTGAGAGGGGTGCAGGCAGGGCTGGGGGTCTGAGCTTCTTGCTGAGGAGGCCAGTAAGGCACGGCAGGAACCCTCACCTTTCAGGGCCTGGAACGAAGCCAGAGAAGCCAGGCACAGGTCTGTGGTGTAGCTGCTAAGTTATGTATGTGCTACGTCCCATTCCGTCATGGTTTAGTAACTAAAATAATGGTCAAGTTACTCACTGCGGAGTCACCTGAGGCTCCGGGAAGCCGCTGTCCGGGCCCTTGTGCGTGTGCACGCAGCTGAACGGGCTCGGGGTTTCTCCTTGCACACCAGGCCTGTGGTGTGGGAGTGCACGCCCATGGTACAGGCGGGCGCGAAACACCCCGTGGAACCGGCATGCCTAGTGGCCGCGCCCCCCCCCCCCCGCCGGGTCAGTGCCCAGGGGAAAAGAAAGCTTCTGTCTGCCGAGACACAAGCACGTTCACGGGACGTTATTATTCCTAACCACTGCAAATGGAAGCAACCCGATCTCCCGGCAACACTGGATGGCGAAACGAGTTGTGGCGTCTGGCGTGTCCCTGCCGCAACGGAAAACCGCACCAACGGAGAACCAGCCCGCCCCACGAGGCACTGCCGAAGCTCAAAGCGTTACGCTGAGCAAAAGAAGGCAGACACCCGCGTATGTGCCACAGGACTCCGTTCATGGGAGGCTCAAAAACAAGCAGAATTAACCAGAACCAACAGAGATAGAAGACTGGTCACCAACGGGAAGCAGAGGTGTTGACTGGAAAAAGCTAGAATGTTCTGGATCCCGATCTAGGTGACGATTACACAGATGTACGTGCATAAAAAAAATCTATCAAGCTGTGGACATATGATTTGTATACTGGACCGTATGCACTACACCTCCCTAAGATGTGAAAAAAGAACAATGACGGACATTCGCCGAGTGCTACTGACCTCCCGTGCGTCAGGCCCTGCTCGAAGACGATGCCGCCTGTGATCCTCTTATAACCCTGTGACAGAGGAGCGGTCTCATCTCCCGGCTTACGGGGCCCGGACAGGCCTTGACAAGAGCGGGTCCCACGCCCACACCCAGGTCCGCACCAGGGAGAGGAGGGAGTTGGCTCCCGGAGGCCCCCCTCCCGGGCCTGCAGCCATCCGTAGACCCCTGGGCCTGGGAGACGCGTGACGGCCTTGCTCACGTCTGGTGGTCAGGCAGGGCTGGCGGCTGGGCCACCATTCTTCTCCCCCCGCGTCGCCAGTGGGACGCTCGGGCATCCCACGCGAAGTCTACGAGGGCCAGCTCGGCACGTGAGCCCTCCCCCAGCTCCTGAGAGCGGCGTGCCCAGCCAGGCCTCCAAATTCGCGTGGCCCGGCCCGGTGTCGGCATGGGAGGCTGCAGGAGGGCACAGACACTGGAGGCAGGACTCACGAGGGCCCCACACCACCTGTCCCCCTTCTTGAGCTCGAGTCACATGGCCTCCTGCTCGTGGCATCCCTGCTGGCCGTCCTACGGTCCCCTCAAGTTCAACAAGGCCAAAAGCGAGCTGCCCTCTTCATGCAGAGCCTGCTCCTCCTTCCGTGTTTCCAGTCAGATCTCTGTAGGATCAAGGCCAAGTTCCACACCGTGCCCTGCCTACCTTACCTAGTGTCACGGAGTCCCCTCCCAGTGCCTGTCCCCATCCCCACCACCAGGAACCACGTGGACTCTCCACATGAACTCTTTCGCCTGAGCCGTGGCCTTGGTCAGGACACCGGGCTGCTCTGCCTGGAGCCGCCCTCCCAGGCTCGCTCACTCGCTCACCGTCCCCTCACAGGGCCTGCGGCAGCCCACCCCAGGCGAGCCCCTCGATCCCTGGGCCTCCGGCTTCTTAACAAGGAGGAAGGGCTTCTGCCGCGAAGACCACGTTTCCATCCACAAATGCGTCCTGAGAACTGTCACGCATCAGGCACGGACGTAAAAGCAGAAACAGGCACCGAAACTCCCAGCCCCGGTGGAGCTCACTCTGGTAGGGGAGACGGTGAGCAAAACACAGACACAGGTGACAAAGCACGGGGTGAAAGGGCGGACGCTGTGGATGGGGAGAGGCCGATTCAAGAGGGCATCGGGGGAAGCGTCACCAATGGCAACAGAGACCCAAAGAAGTGAGGGAGCGACCCACGCAGGCGGGGGATCGGACAACGTTCCAGGCAGGGCCACAGCAAACAAAGCCCCTGAAACAGAAGCCGGCCCCGCAGGTGGCAAGAACAAGCAGCCAGTGTGGAGCCAGACGCCCAGGCACCGGGCCGCTGAGTGAGACCTGACCTGCTCCCAGAGTGACGTGCGGCCGGAGGAGCACAATCTGACCGGCGTGCGCACCGTCAGAGCAGCCGCCGTGCTGCAGTCACACAGGGCGCGGGCCTGGGGGACACAGGGAGGCCGCCCGGGAGGCCGCGCGAGTGATGACCTAGGCTGGAGTGATGCTGACCTGGACCACGGAGACTGGGGGCCGAGTGGTCAGATAGGGGCATATTGGGAAAAGAGAGGCCACAGGATTGGGAAGAGGGACACGAGGTGCAAGACGAAGTCAGAAGTTAAGGGTGACTCACGACTTTCACCTCGGGGACACACATGGACCTGGCCGCCACGATCTCGCACAGAGGAGCTGCGGAGGATTTGAGGGGAAACCTGCACTCTGGTGAGACTCCCCAGGCAGCCCTTCAGGGAGAAAGGTGCAGGGGTGGCCAGGGGAGAGCGAGGGCGGGGAGGGTCCATGTCTGGCGGGCAGTCACCGGGGGAGGGAGCAGAGATGGCAAGAGACGAGAGCCCAGCCTGAGGCCCGAGGCCCGGGCGTACCACCGAGCACCCGGGAAGACAGCAGCCAGGGACGTGGGACCGTGGGGCGTCCTGAGTGCCAGGGGGAGGGGGCGAACGCCTATCACCTGCTGCCAGGAGGTCACGCGGGACAACGTGGACGGAGACCGCGGGACTGAGCTGTGTGGCGGCCACAGGTGACCCTGACAGAGCAGCGTGGGGGTACAGGGGCGAGCCCAGCCAGAGCGGGCTCAGGAGGGGTGACAACTGTGAGGGGACCTGCGGCAAAGCGGAGCAGAGGAGCCAGAGAGGGAAGGGGCTTAGGGCAGGCTCGCCTTTCGTCCGTCCTAAGAAAGGGGAGCCGTCCAAACGTCCCTCCGGAGACGATGCGGCCCCAGCAGAGAGGATAACGGCGTTCTAGAATTAAGTGAGCCAACGCACGTGCAAAGAACTTTCGATGAAACTCAGCACACGGTAAGGCCATTAAAAACGTTAATGGAAGCGATGATGCGACACATGACTACGTGACGCGTGACACGGCAGGCCCTCCTTCCGTTCGGCGAGCCCTCCAGGGCACAGGCACATCTCGCCTTCAACCGTTCCCACGCCACGGCGCAGCCCGGAACGTTCAGGCAACAACCACCTAGTGCCATTTCCTCCTCCACACCCGGAGTCGGGCACTCAGAAGCCCTCGCCCTGGGAGCCGCCGTGTCAGCCATCTGAGCGCTGCCCCTCTGGGGCAATCAGGCCACGAGAGACGAGAAATTCGGGCTCTGCCGTCTCAGTCCTTCTCCCCCAGTCACCTGTGGAGCGGGTGCCAGGAGGCAGCAGGGCGAGTCTGGCCGTCACCCTGCTCCCCCGGCCACGGCAGGCAAATCACGGACGGGGCTTTCTGAAGTGCACGCCGTCCAACCCGGAAACTGCCCATGGGGCCCGGGCCTGGGGGACGAGGAGACCGGCCTGGAGACCGGCCGCCAGGATTCCGGGCACACCTGGAACACGGGAGTCCCTTCGCCCAGAAGCTGGGGGTCTCGGAGAGGCCGGGCCGCACGCTCCGGTCACGGCCGCCACGGCGTTCAAGGGGCAGGCGGGCTCCTGCGGCAGGAGCCCAGGGGCGGAAGGCGCCAAGCCCGTGGCAGCTGCCCGCCCAGCACTCACCCGGTGCATGTCTTCATACTTGAGGAAAAGCACGTTCGAGTCCATGCGGTGCTCCCAGAACTCCTGCACGTGCTCAAACCAGGAGCCGTAACCCACTGCGGAGACAAGGGGACAGGTGAGATCACAGCCCAGGGGGAACCACCGTGCACAGGTGGGGTGGCCTGGCTCCCTGCCTTCCGGGAGGTTCCGCCCTTACTGGCCAACAGCTGTGGTCCAGGAAGGGGAGAACGAGCTCTCAGCTCCGGGGGCAGTCCCCCGGGTGAGCCCCTTCCCCCAGACCCCCGGCTTTGTGTGCCAGTCTCTCCTGCCAACGGTCCTCGGCCCCTCCCCTCCCCCACCCCCGGACGCCCTGAAGACCTGACCGCCAGGGGCAAAGCCTCTGCTCAGCAGCGGGAAGGACGCTACCGGGCTCCCACGAGTTTCTGTTTAACACGAGGTCACCAGGAAGGGAGCCACGCCCGGCGCGACGGAGACACGGGGCCGGTCGGTTCCGCCGGGGGCAGGACAAAGTACAGACAGCTCTAAGAGCCGAGCGCGAGGCCCCGCCAGGCCAGAGGGCCACAGGCACAATGCCGGGCAGAACCAGGAAGTCGCCGGGAGCAGGAGGGGCGGCGTGCGCTGACACACGAGGCCCACGCCCCACACCACAGCCCCCGCGCTTTCCACACCCCTCAGGGCTTTGGTTTGCCACATGGGCAGGTGGGGGGCGGCTGCCAGTCCGTGCGGCCCCACTGCTTCGAAATGTTCTGTATAAACACCACGGATCCTCACCCGCTCCCTCAGCGAGACGAGTCTTCCCGGGGGCCTTCCGTGTTAAATGGAGGAAGGCCTCAGCCAGAGAACTCGGGGCCCTGCCAGGCACCAAAGAGCAGCCCGGCCAGGTGCTAGGCGCGAGCCAGGAGCGCTGGCCACACTGCCCGTAGCCCTGCCCCCCCCCCGCCCCCCCGGGTGCCCATCCATCCCACAAACACTGGGCCTGTGGATCCCGCTTCTTGGGCTCAAATTGCTCCCAGCCTGTCTGGAGTCACCAAGAAGACTGGCGGCGAAGATACGAGTGACCGACACTGGGAGGGCGGCACTGTGACACGAGGGGCCCCGTCCCCCTTGGGGACAGACCCGGGAGGGTGCATTAGCGCTGTGAATGGACTTAAAGGTGTAAGGACAGGAAGGCCATCAAGGTGGCTCAGAGCACAAAGTCAGACGGGACAGAGGGGGCACAGCGGAATGGCAAAGGACACGCCCCAGGTGAGGCGGCCCGGCCTCTCAGATCCCACGCCGGCTGTGTGACCGGGGCAGGCCGCTTAGCCTTTCTGAGCCTCGCCCTCCACAAGCGGGGTGACAACAGGACCTATAGGGCAGCCAGCAGCCAGCACCGCGAGAACACCCACGTAATGCTCGCGGCCCCAGGGCCTGTTGGGGGGAAAGCACCGACTTGTTCCCTCTGGTCCCGCGCAGACTGGGACTGCCGAGGGACACGGAGGCCAGGGGTTGGCAGGGGACTGCTCCTGTCCCTGTCAGAGTCACACCTCAAGCAGGAACGCAGCCTCCACCCCCCACGTTGCAGAAAACCTCATGGATTTAAGTGCGTGACAGGCTGGGAAAACCCATTCCTGCCATGCCCAGCCAGCCCGGGGCCATGACGTCAGTCTGCCGTCTCGCCAGCAGGTGGCAGCACAGCAGCAGCCTGGCCCCACACTTGAAGAGCGTCCGGGAGGGAGCTGGAGTCCGTCAGGGGTCACTGAGGGGTGGCCCGAAGGCCCAGATCCCAAGGGAAAAGCTTGGGCTTTTCCCAGGGGCTCCGGCAGGGGTCGGGGTTAGAGGCAGAGATGACAGAACAAAACGAACTTGGATTCAGCCAAAAGGCCTTGTTAGGGACCCACCGTGGGTTAAATCCTAGCCCGCTAGGGCCTCGGTCTCCTCACTGCAGAGGTCTAGCTGCTGGGCCCGGGGTCCCCCCGGCATGCCTCCCACGGCCAGCCCGGCACATCCCGCCCACCCCATACACAGCTAGGCCGGCCTTAAAAGGCAGGCCAGCCTTCCCACTCGAGAGGACGAGGCAGAGTCCAGAGAAGGGAACAAGGACCAACTCACCAACGGGCTAATAATAAGCACGGGGGCCCCGAGAGGAGAACCCGCCTCCCGGGTCACTGCCCGCGCTGGCACACAGTTCAGGTGACCTGAGTCCGGGGACAGAGCAGGAGTCCAACAGTCATGAACAGAGAAGGCAAGAAAAATCCCTGTCATCCCAAGGGGCTGTGCGAGAAAAGTTGCAGAACAGGCAAGCAATGCCCATGGGGGGTGACGTGGGGACGGTGAGGACAGCGGTCACTCACACAGGGCCGATGATCACAAGGACAGCACATGCCTGTGTCTCTCCCAGCCCCGGTTAGCGGGGGCAGAGAGGGGGCAGACCCTGACGGCGGGGACACTGCTCTTCCCACCCGGGCTGTGCCACCCCGGGAAGGAAGCTCCACCAGGGCACCCCTCTGCCTCTCTGCACCAGGTTCCCTCCATTCCTGGAAGTCAACGTGCTCATCCAAGCAGATCAGCTGGGAGAAGGGCAGCTCGCTGTCCCCACTCTGCGTGAGTGACCCTGCCCGCGGGACGGGCCTCCACGCTCCGTCGCCTGGCACGCGGCCCCAGGCACCCCCACCCCGAGTGCACAAGCCTCAACACCCGTACGCAGGGCTCTGGAAGCAGGTCCTCTAAGGTCACTCTATCAGCAAACAGTGCCCGGCCATGGCTTCTTCTGCACTGTATTCTTCAAATTCTTTGGAACCTCACACAGAGAGGACAGCGCAAGCCTCCGAGGGCCCCAGATGAGGTGCGAGGGCTGCCAGCAATGGGAGAACAGAGAGGACGTTGGGGGGCTAAGTACACGTGGCGGGAGACTCTGGTGGGATCGCAGCAACTGTGTGTGGCCTTGAACTGCAGTGTCGGGCCGGGCCGTGACCTTTAAAACTCGGGAACACCTGTATCGGGGTAACTTTTAACCGCCCTGGCCCAAGCAGGAGCTAATTTAAGACCGACACCAGGTGGCAGTCAGAAGCTGGTGGACGCCTGTCCACGGGACGCTGTCGCCATGCGGGTGGCTGCTTCTCTAGAGGCAGCGGAACATGCTGGGACTTAAGGACGTGGTTTGGAAACCACACTAAATGGCTTACTCCAAACGCCTGGCAGACCGTAAGGACCTGAGCCAGACAGCAGGCAGGCCGGGGGGGGGGGGGGGGCGGGGGAGGAGGCTGGGCAGAGGGTCTTTCGTGGACTCCAGGGACTTTGGGGCAAGTGCAGTGGCCACCTCCCCCGCGCCCACCCCCAGCAGAGCTGGAGCAGATTCCGAGCAGCTCCGGGCTCCAGGCTCCGGGCACCGAGGGCCACGTGTGCTCCACTGCACCCACGAGGGGCCGGCCTTCCAAGAGGCTTGGGAGGGAGCTCCGGTTCAGCTGCCCGGGACTTATTTGGGACACGACATTCCTGATTTCCCCCGTGCACCTCACCCTGGTCTTGTCCCATAATCTCAGTGCGGAACCTCCGACTGGGCCACGCAAGCGGACAGCGAGGCTGAGCGCTGAGACGGGAGACGGGAAATAAAATGAGAAGTGTATCTTCAGACTCGGGTATGGAATCGTCTGGGCCCGGATCTAACTGAAGTACTGATGTGGCCCATCTCCAGCCTTCCGGGTGCAAACCCGCACTGAACTCCCGCCCTTGGTCCCGGAAGGGTCCCCCGAGAGGCCACGGACGGCAACAGGAGAGCCACCTCGGGCAGGGCTGCCGACTCCACGGACAAGGCCCCAGTGCAGTGGGTGTGGCCCGGGCTCTCCCGCCCCGGGGAGTGGGGGGGGGACATATAGAAGGGCCCCTGGCAAGCTGGGCCCCCCAGCTTGACTCCTCCCTCCCCAGACGAGCTCCTGTACAGAGCACGGCCTGCCCTTAACCCAAAGCAGGCCCCGGTCACACAGCCGGGAGCCGGGGGCCCAAGCCTGCCTGCCCCATCCTCCAGGGCAGCTGAAGGTCCACGAAGCCACAGTCCCCACTCGGGCCTCTGTCCCCGACAGCAGGACTATCTGGGCCTCCGTTTCTACTGTTCAAAATCCCGGCAGGAAGAGAAACGCTTTTACCTGGGGAACTTCTCGGGACGCCAACGACGTGCTGAGAGAGACGGGGTTCTGAGCTGGAAGCCCCGGCTGCCGCCCTGGTGAGCTTCCCCCACCCCGGCCCCGCTCCTCCGCCCGTGGGCAGGAAAGCAGGCCCAACCCACGCGGTTATCGTGGGGACCGGGGGCATCGTGCACGAGGCACACGCGTGCACGGGCAACGAGGGAGCCACTGATGGCACCGGCCGACACACTTACGCTTGTCGTTCATGAACCTCCGGCAGAACTCCTGGAAAGTGCCCCGGTAGCTCATGGTCCGCAGGGAGCGGTGGAACTGGTAGTAGGACACCACCAGGTCCTTGGGGTTCCGAGCCATGTATATGACCTGCGGCGGGAGGGAGGGACGGCTCGGTCGCTGCTCCTCGGAGCCACCGCACAGACGCCCCACCCCCACCCCAAGATCAGCCCCGCTCCAGCCGAGGACACCCTCCCCCTGCAACGGCATCCGTGTTACGTTTCCATCCTGTACCATGACTCCAAAGGGACTGGAGGGCAGAACCAGGCCGGTCCGGACACTGCTGATGAGAATCAGAAGTGTCACGGACGGAGCACACCAAGAAAGTGAGGAAAGTCAGAGACCGTGAACGCGGCCGAGGGTCCTCGGCCTCACGGGACCAAGGCTGGACCCAGGCTGGTCAAGCCCACGTTCCGCTGTGAGGAAAAGCCTAAATGAGAACCACGGATAAAACGCTAGGGACAGGAGCTCAAAGCTGGCCTCCACCGCGTCGTAGCACGCCTGGGCCTCTGGGAACTCAGGACTGGGACCTGAGCCCTACGGGACGGCGGTCTCTGCTTGCTGGGGGCTCCGCCAGGAGTGGGGGCAGGAGGGTTACCTTAGAATCGCCATTGTGGAGATCGGAGGGCAGGAAGCGGTAGGGGAGGTGACTCTTGATGAGGCGAGGCGACGTCAGCTCCTGCAGAGGGTCAGAGGGAATAGCGTTCAGAGGACACACGGCTGCTCACCCGCCTCAGGACCAGCAGCGCACCTGACAAACTTCTCACCCGACATGTGGCCACCCTCCAGACCGGACGAGACGTGGTCCCTGTCCTCGGGCACCCACAGCGTGAGCCAAGCTATCACGGGCACAGGGGTCTGCTCAGAGGGCCTGCCTGGGCCGTGAAGGGCAGAGAGGAAGCAGGAGGCCGAGGTGCCCAGGGGCGCCTGCTGGACCAGTCACATCAGCATCGGGCCTTCCTGCTGCTCCCGGAATGTGCCAGGCCCACGCTCCCTGCTGCCCGTCCCAGCGTGCCCGCGTGGCTCCTCTCTTGGGACCTTACTCAGCCATCCCCCAGAGGCGCCTGCCGTCCTGTGTGCTGTCCCACCTTGTGCCCTATACGGTATCGCCATAAAACCCCAGGTCCTTGCTCTTCCTCCCCTCTGGTCTCCCTCACTAGAATGCAAATCCTCGGAGGGTCATGACAGCCTTGTCCGTTTTGTCCTCGGCTGCACGCCAGGGTCAAAGGCAGGGCCCCGCAGGTGGTGGGCACGGCGCTACAGAAGGGCTCCACAGAGGAGTCGACACGGGTTGGATCCGTGTGGCCAACACTGGGGTGCAGACGCCCCGGGGCAGCTGCGTGAGCACGGGAGGCCAGGGTGCAGGCAGAGACCGGCTCCCACAGGACTCTGGACTTTACTCGGAGAGCAGTGAGAGGAGGGCGGGGCGCACCCTCGGAGCTGTATTTCAGAATGCTCGTCTGGAGGGAGAACGGATGGGCAGTCCACGCAGGAACCGTGGTCTGGGCTGAGAGGTGACGGACAGGAAGGGAGGCTCCATCGGAGCACTAGGATAGACTGCACTTCGGGCTACCTCCTCCACTCCCCCAACAGACGGGGTGAGCCACGCTGGGGAGCCCCCTTTCTACCTCGAAGTCACCCACGACACCCACCGCTCCAACCTCACCGTCACCGCCTACCTCGGGCTCGGGCCTCAGTCTGTCCTGGCTGTCCCCTCTCCCCCCAGCCATGGGCCCCCTGAGCCCCTCAGGAGCAACTGTCACTCGGGGACCCCAGGGAGCCCCAGGGCCTGGGCGCTGCTGGCCCAGAGAGTACCTTGATGATGTCCAGGCCCGGCTGCGGGTACTCCAGGACCGGGAGCTGCTCATCGATGTTCATCAAGCCGATCTCATCAGGGTCGGCCCCCTGGCTCACCAAGTAGACCACCTCCTGCAGCAAGCTGGTGCCTGGAGGGAGAGAAGCCCAGGGGGCGGTGCTCAGAGGAAGCCCGAGGGCCAGCCCCGCTCCCCAGGCCGCACCTGCTGCCCAAGACCGCACACGTGGCCACCAAGGGCAGAGCCCCGGTGAGCAGGACGCCCAGGAACAGGCAGGACAGGCAAGCAAGAGCGCCAGCACGGACGGGGTAACCCCTGGGAGAAAGGTGGCTCCGGGTGCCTCTTCTGGCCCCCGTGTGCGGACCCCACTCTGCACGGGCTCTCAGCTCCGGGTCCCCGGCGAGCCCAAGGCTATCCCATCACGATCCCACCTGACCTCTCAGAAGAGACAAACACAGCGGGCCGGTGCCTCTCCTCAAGACCGTGGTCGTCTTACTCTGGCGGAATCGGCCTGCTGCCCGCTCCCCATCCCCCCACCCTGAAACGCTGACTGCCGAGAGCACTGCCTCACACCCCTGCCTGCACTCCCCAGAGGGCCTCATGCCGTCCCCCCACCGAAGCCAGCCCCACACGCACCCCCACTCCCGTCTGTCAACCCAGGAACACCCACCGCCCGTCGCCTCCCCGGGACGGGCGGCCCCGCAGCAGACGGCCAGCCCGCCTGCTGCCCCTGCTCGGGCCTCTGCGCCCCTCGGGTTCTGCCACCAAGGTGAGTGAAGAGCTGGCCCTTCGCCCCCGGGGGCACCTCCAGAGCCCCCATCGCTCTCTGCTTCGGCCCCACTCACCTGGGCTGGCTCCCACCCTCCCCCTGCTCAACAAAGGAGAACGACCATTCCAGCCTGGATGTCAGACGGCACCCCCCCCACCCCACCACCGCCAAGGCCCTCCGGGGGGGCCTCCCATCTCCTCGGGGTAAAGTCTTCCCCACGGCCTGCAGGCCTGCCCTCGGCACTCTGTGCCCCCTCCCACCCCCGCTCTCGGTCCACTGAGCTCCTACTGGCCTCCTGGCAGGTCGGAGCGTGCCAAGCCCACCCCACTGTCTGCACCTGCAAGGCGCCTGCCTGCAGCCCCTTCCTTCCTCCCTCCCACAGGTCCTCCGGGGGTGAGGGCTCCCTGACCGGCCACGTCTAACGCTCCCACATGGCCCCCGTCCCCGTGCCGCGCCACGCCCCGGGACAGTCTGCGCGTTCCTTTAAGGGCCCCTCCCCCCCACCATAAAGACACGGAGCTTTGCTGCACCAGGAGAGCCGGCACCTGGCCGTGCTGAATTCACATCTTCTTTTTTTTTTTTTTTTTTTCAATGTTTTTATTTATTTTTGGGACACAGAGAGAGAGACAGAGCATGAACGGGGGAGGGGCAGAGAGAGAGGGAGACACAGAATCGGAAACAGGCTCCAGGCTCTGAGCCATCAGCCCAGAGCCCGACGCGGGGCTCGAACTCACGGAGCGCAAGATCGTGACCTGGTTGAAGTCGGACGCTTAACCGACTGCGCCACCCAGGCACCCCTGAATTTACATCTTCTGAAGGGACGGACAAACGCTGGCTGCTGAGCGATCAGAAGAGGACAGCTTGGTCAAGGAAGACTTCCCAGAGGAAGCAGCTTCGGAGCAAAGGCACTGAAGAAAACAGTGCGGTGGCTTTTTAAATTCACACAGAAGTAACTTCACCTCTTAACCCACAGGATCCTCCCACCAACCCGAAAGGGGGGGGACCATCACCCCCACCTACAGATGAGGAACCTGAGGCCAAACCGTGCCCCGGGTCACACAGCTGGTGTGTGGCACCCACCCCATTCCTCCTGGTGAGGCCCGTTCACCCGACAGCCCAGGGCACCTGCACCGGGGAGTCCACGCCCTTAGAAATCAGCGTGGGCACAGTTCCCCAAACGGGCCTCTCCCAGTGGCATCTTCAGGACCCATTTTTAGTGCCCCCACAGGCCAGGGCCCGGACAGACGTCCTCCGCACGTTACCACTGACGAATCAGTCCCCGAAGCCCCATCCCGCCTCCCTAAATACCGACTCGGGAAGGCTGGCCACCTCGGAGCCGGAGGAGGCCCTGCACCTGCCTCCCCGCTGGCCTGTCCCCAGGGGCCCCTCCAGCCCCTCCTCGTCCACTTCCCGGTCAAGCAACTGGGCCTGGCCTTTCCTAGGCCTCAGCACCAGCTACGGGGGGCCACGCTGCGCGCCTCCCGGCACATAGGACACGGTCAGCGGGCCGACCCTGGCCTCTCCAGGGCCAGAGCCAGCTGGCAAGGGGGGACGGAACGGTCACAGGAAACCCCAGCTAGAGAGGACGGCAACGACGACACTGGCCAGTCACACGTGGTTCCAGACACCCCTCTCATAAGCCCCTTCCCGAAGACCAAACTCAGGCTCTACCGTCCACAAGGGTCCGGCCGGGCACCAGTGGCACGCACGCCTCTCCCTGCTGCCCGTCCTCTCCATGTCCACTGCCACCACCGGAGGTCCCACCACCCAGCAGGGCCCCGGACGTCAGCAGGAGCCCCGCAGGCCCCTCCACCCACTTTCCCGGCCACCACGGCTGCAGTGACCCTTCCACCTGCCGTGTCCCCGTGGCTCTCGGCTCCTGGGGAGCGGCCCCCCTGGGCCCTTCTCCTCCCTCTACCCCCTGGCACGCCGGACTGTGGCCGGGCCTTCCAGCCCCCTCCAGAGCTCAGCACCCTCGTGGCCCCAGCTTCACCAGGCTGCCCTTCTGCCTGACCAGCCTAGACTTGGTCTTCATTTGGGCCACTGGTCCCAGAAGCCTTCTCGGACACCCCTATCTCATCTGCAGCCCTCCCCCAACCCCACAGCACCCCGTCCCTCTGTCCTACTACACCTGGTGCCCTGGTGCGTCCGGCGGTCTTGCGAGGACAGAGAACACGTTTTAGTTATGTATTAGTTTCGACGGCCGCCGTGGCTTCAAACGACAGTTACCGTCCCGCGACTCCGGAGGTCAGAAGGCCAACACAGGCCTCGCTGGGCTCAAATCAGGACGTCAGCGCTCCCCCTGTCCAGCTGGAGCCACACTGCTTCACCCCGCCTCCTGCCTCCTCTGCCAGGCATCCCAGTGCACACACGGAGCTCCCTCAGATAATCCAGAACGATCTCCCACCCGAAGGGCGGCTCTGGCAACCTCCGTCCTCCCCCTCCACGTAAGGCGAAATACCCACAGGTTCGCGGGTTAGGACGTGGATACTTCGGGGGTCGTCACTCCACCGACCGCACTCCCATCACACTCCTAAGCACACGGGCCTGGACGACGGAACGAAGCCGCTCTAAAGTCGCCCCCACCCACCTGGGAAACGGGACTGGTCTTCACCCACACATCCTCCAGACCCAGGTGGGCTCTCCCCTGAGACCCTCCCGGCCTGGGCACCCCGGCTCGGAGCGCCTTCCCCCGCTCTGGGACACCCCCTCAGTGGAGCCACGTGTCTCCCACAAGGGATTAGCCCACAGTCCTCACTTGGGATCTGGTGGTGGCCACCCGAGGGCTATTCCCCCACACTTCCCTCTATTCATTCAAGAAGCCTGCACGGAGAGCCGGCCCGGGGAGTCCCTGCTCCTCCCCCCTGGAAAAACAGGGCAACACCCCTCTCTTCTTCACGGGATGGTCGGGGTCAGGGCCACAAGGTGACCTCCTCCAGGCCAGAGAACCTCAAGGCAAATGAAGATCTCTCCGAGCTCCCAGCACCACGACAGGCTCCGCTCACCAGGGCCACTCCCACACGAGGACACTGCACAGCCTCCTGCCCACCCAGGCCACCCTCGTCCCGACAAGGGACACAAGCTGTCAGGCCCCTCTTGTCGAAACCACGCCCTGGGCGACCGCTACAGCTCACTCCTGCACCAACAAGGCCACGGAATCCCCCCCTCCACCACCGTGGCCTCCGAGCACGCCCAGCAGACACGAAGGCAAAGCCAGCCCTGTTGAAGCCCAGCCTGTAGCCTGCAGGGAAATGGGGGAGAAGGCACTGCTCCGCTCCGGCAGCCACCGGGCCGAAATGGACGAGCGCAGGCAGGGGTGGGGTGGGGCCTCGGCACCCCCAACCATCCTCCTGTGGTCTGAGGCCTGTGAGGGAGGCGAGCACGGGAGGAGCCCCGTAGCAGGGGCAGGCTGACGGCCAGCAGGCCCAAGGTGAGGCAGAGGAGAGCCAGGCTTCCAGACCAGACACCCGGGAGGGCCGGCCGGGCGGCGTGGCCTTCCCGGGGAGTGACACGAGCCACACGCTTCCCAACAGCTCCATTTTCGAGTCAACTGGACGCGATCCTTTCCAGAAGCGCTTCTGCTGATCCCAGCCAAACCGCGGCTCGCACGGCAGAGGTGCGCTCTGACGCTGGACCTCTGGGGCCAGACCCCTAGGAAGTGTCTGGCGTTGTGGGCGGGACTCCCCAGGAATCGAGGGCCCGCCTGTCACAACGCGGGGGGTGGAGCCCATCAAAATTCCCACCCGAACTCTAGGGACAGAAGGAACCGGCACTCTGGTGAGAACCGATCGGGCCTGGGCCCCAAACCACCGGGGCCTTCTTTTATTGTCACTTTCATCACTTCCGAAGGTCAGACGCACACTGGTCTAAAAAGTCACAGGACACCGGAAGACGAGTAACAGAAAATCCAGTTCTCCTCCCCGCCCCAGTCCCACCGAGAGCAAACCCTCGGCTGGTTCTTTTACCCTCAAATGCCCAATGTGCTTAGACAGCTCTCTCACGATCTGTGCGATTTCCGGGGTCTACTGATTTTCAACTGATGAGGACAGGCCCTGGCCAAGTTCGCTCACAAGCTTCCCTCCTCCCAGTGTGGCCGCAGCATGATTTTCGGTCTTCCCTAGAGTTTAACGGAGTGTTCTGCTCGACACACACTGTATCATGGTCACACTGACTTTCTTACACAGGACGTCGACTTTCCCAGAGTAAATCACTGCCTTCGCTTGCTTGCTTCGCTTTCCCCGCAGCCATTGGTGATTCTTTCCGGGACTCTGTGGCAAGCCCCCTGGGACGCTCTCAGTCCTGCCAATTCCGCTGCCCCCTCCGCTCTCCACGAGCGTCCTCCTGGATCTCCTCGGGCCGGTGCACCTCGTCCTTAATCCGTGTGCCCTCCCTGCCGTCTTCCCACGCACTGGCTGAGCCCGCCTCCGGCTGCTGCCTGAGTTGGGGACCGAGCAGGACAAGCATCCGTGCCCACCTTGCTCATGACCGGAAGCTTGGCTGCGCACAGAATTCCGGGCTGGAGAGCGTTTGCCCCAGACGTGCGACAGACAGCACGGTGAGAACGTTGAGGTCCTGGGTCCCGCGCCTTTGAACGTGCCCTGTTCTGGCTCTGGAGACTAAGGCCTCCTCTTCCTGCTGAGACTCCACAGGGCCTCCGGCCTGCTTTCACCCACTTGTCGTATCAGACACTCGGGGGCTCTCCAGCTCATGCCCTCAAGCTCTGGACATCCCAGGTTCCATAGTCTTCTCTCTTACACACACTGTTGTTTTTCTGGAACTCCAAGATCTTACCTTTTTTTTTTTTTTTTTTTTGGTTTTTTTATTTTTATAGACATAGAGCGTGAGAAAGAGGCGGAGAGAGAGAGGGGGAGAGAGAGAGAATCCCAAGCAGGCTCCGCGCTGTCAGTGTGGAGCCCAACATGGGGTTTGAACCCACAAATCATGAAACCATGACCTGAGGCAAAATCAAGAGTCGGATGCTTAACCGACTGAGCCACCCAGGCACCCCTGACAACTTCCAATTTTCTTATTTTTTGCTCCTATTTGCCATCATTTTGCAAAACAATTTTCTCCTACTTCCCGGGCTACTTCCTCCGCTTGACCATCCAAAGCTCACAACTGAGTTTTCAAAATCTCAGCTTCCCAAGAGCCCCTTAGTGATCCGTCCTTGCTCCCTCCTGGTGCCGTCGCTTTCTTCCGGGAAGGCTCATCTGTCTCCGCTCTCCAGGGTGGCTCTGGAGGGTCACGATGCGGGTGGGGCTCCGCTGTTTTAGGTTTTCTACTGCTCTATACATCGCCCTGGATTCCTCCAAGCTCCTTTTTCTGCTGTTGGTTTTTACAGGTCTCTGTCCTTTGTTTTGGAGACTTGAAGACTCGGTGAGTTCGAGTCCAACGGCAGGTAAGAATGATCCAGACGCAGCCATGCGGGGGGCAGGGCCTGCTGATGCCCACCCGGGGGCTCTCCCAGCTGAGCACGTGCAGATTCTCACGGTCATCTGTGGGGTCAATGTCTCCAGAGGAGATGCCTCTACTCTCTGTCCCGAGGGACCACCTGCATGCCGGGAGCCAAGCAGGGGTGGGGGCGGGAAACCTCCATTTCAAGGGCGTGGCTTTCACGGGACCCTCGTTTCCCATAGGGCACCGCAGCTCAGCCTACGCTGTGCTCGGCGTGCCCACATCCACAGCCTCCCCGATCAAGTTCCCCCAAGAAACATGTCTCTGCAACGGCCTGGTGCCGTCTATCCCATCGTGGCTGCCACCCTCTGAGGGGTGCACCCCACGGCCAGAGCCCTCCGGCTGGAACCGGTTTGTGCACCCGCGGCCCTCCCGCTGCCGGCACTCGGGCTCTCCCGCCAGCTAAGCCAGCACCCGATCACCGGGAATCCGCGGGCACCTGCGACCCCAGGTCTGCTCCTTGGTCTGCGGTCTACGCCGTGTCTACCCCGGGATCGTCACGCAGCGAGGTCGTAAGAGGAAGCAGAGGAGAGCACGTGCGTTCAACCCACCACCCTCTGTCAAATGCGCCCCGGGTGTCCTGGAGCCGGGAGCATCGACACGTTACAGTGGGACCCGTCCAGAAACAGCAAGAGCCCAGCATCCGAAGCCGCGCCTCGCGGAGCTGGCCCAGGCGACCCAGGACGTGGGGCTCCCGCGGGCCCCTCGCCAGCCGTCGGACCCGCTCTCCCGACAGAGGCTGACGTGGCCTCCAGGTCCTCGCTGGGAAAACACCTGTCCCCATCTGGGAGGTTTCACATACGCCCCATCGGCTCTCGGGAGATGACAGGCGCAGGCCAGTCCCACGCCGGCAACCGGGAGGGGAACCGAGGCGAGAAGCCCGCAGCGGCTCACGCGGGCACCCAGCAGTCACCTCCGTGACAGCGACGGCCGTGCTCAGCGTCCCAGGTGCTGTCGCAGCAACTCAGCCCCGTCCTCGGTGGATTCGCACAAGCCCCCAGGTGGCTTCTGTCATCACACCTCACACACAAAGAGCCAGCTCAGAGGTGAACTGGCCAAGGCCACAGACGCGACACCGTGAGCCCAGAACCCAAAACTGTGACTCTGGAGCTGAGAGCTTCTTCACATGCACCACACGCACACACGTACACACCACACCACACCACAGCCAGGAACACGCACAGTGCACACACCCCACGTCCCAACATTCACACGCATCACACACACACACACACAAATGACACACACACACCACACACACCCCCACTCTTACCGAGCAAGCAGGCAGCAAGACCAAGGCCTCGAGCCACACGTTCTCACTTGCAGGCTACGGCTCCAACCCTCAACCCCAGCACAGCAAGGACGGACCGAGGCTGAGGCAGAGGGAGGAGGGGCCGGGAGGCCTCCCCAGCACTGCGGGAGCTCAGCTTCTAGGCGCACAGAGCCCACCCACCAGGCAGAGCATGTGGCTCTTCCCTGAGAGAGAGGCCCCGTCGCCAGGAGGGCCCAGGAAAGTCAGGAGAGGCTCCGCTTAAAAAAGCAGCATTTGGGGCGCCTGGGTGGCTCAGTCAGTTAAGCGTCCGACTTCGGCTCAGGTCATGATCTCACAGTCTGTGGGTTCGAGCCCCACCTCGGGCTCTGTGCTGACAGCTCGGAGCCTGGAGCCTGCTTCGGGTTCTGCGTCTCCCTCTCTCTCTGCCCCTCCCCTGCTCACGCTCTGTCTCTCTCAAAAATAATAAACATTAAAGCAAATTTTTTTTAAAAGCAGCATTTGACACAAGAGCCTCAGGACAGGACAAGCCAGTGAGCTGCAGGGTGGCCGTGGCATACAGCAGAGGGAACCCCGCTCCCCACTGGGCCCCCAGTTCCTCGCCACGCACTCCTCACCACCTGGGTTCACAGCCCCTCCTGGAAGAAGGGGACGCTGGGCTGGGCACAGCCAGGAGACCGGCCGCGGCCCAGGCGGGAAGGCAAAGCCGCACGACCCCACGTGCTTCCGCTTGCCCTTTTGTGCTTTGCTCCATCGCCGAGAGGGACAGTCCCTGGACGAGGGAAGAGACCCCCACAGCAGAGCTGCCCAGCCAAGCCCAGCCTCAGCCTCCTGTTGACCCGCAGACACGTGGCGGGTTGGGCCAAGATCCGTGACGACAGACACGGAGTCGTTTCAAGGCGCGAGTCCAGACGGGCTCTTATGCAGCAACCGGCACGGAACGTTCCAGGTGGAGCTGACACGAAAGAGGGGACAAAGAAAGCGGCGGCTAATAAAGTGCGAGGCCCGAGCACGTCCCCTCCCAAAAGCCCCTGCGAAACAGAGCGCGTCACCTCCGCCCGAGACGGCAGGACACTTAGAAAGGGTGAGGGCCTCGCCCCCAAGACTTGGGCCCAGGTGTTGGTAACCCGCCCCTCCCCCAGCAGGCCCTCTCAGTGTCCAGGCCACCTGCCTCAACCGCCCTGAACGTCTCCTGCAGCCCGAGTGGACTGCCTGCTTCTCTCTCAGCCACTGGAGGAGCAGGCCAGGAAGGGCCAGGAGCCAAGGCCCTGGGCACCCGCACCCGCTGAGGGACAGGAGCTGTGGCGGGTGAGTGCCGGCCTCCTGTCCCTCGAGGGAGCCCCCTGAGCCCTACCCACAGCGTCTCTGGAGCTCCCGGCAGGCAGAGCCCCAGCACCCGCAAGAGTACCAGGCCTCAGAGTACCTCCTCCCCTCCCCTCCTGTGACCACCTCGCCCCACCCCTCCACGCCAGCCCTTGCTTCGGGCTCTCCAGGGCCCAGATACGCCCACTCACGTGCTGGCCTCACCCCCTCCCACGGGAGAGGCAAACCGGCCAAAGGCAAGGCCACACGGGCACTGGCTTCTAGAGGCCGTGTCTGAAATCCCGGCTCGGCCGCTTCCTAACACTCGATGCTGAGCCCGAATGAGCCCCTCTCGGTCTGTCTCCCCACCTGGAAGGCGAAGATCACCATGCAGGTTAAATGCCATCGCCTGGCTACCAAAGGCATCAGCGGTGGTGACCCTGGGGCTGACCACGGTGGCAGAGGAAGTTAACCTACCCAACGCGCGCCCCCGGGGGCTGACCTGGCCAGAGCCACTCCCACTGCTGC